GGGGGCAGCTTGGACATTTGGATAAATATCTATTTTTTGTTTAAAAAAGAAAAAAGAAAGAAAAGGTCATATGGGTTTGGTATAGTATAAAACATTTCAGCATTTATGTATGTATGTATTTATTTATTTATTTACAGTGCCCCAATGACTTTTTATTATATGAATTTAAAATAAATGTTTTATTTTGTTTTGTTTCACAGAAAACCGTTGGCACAATAGGATGGAGAGTGAATGATGACAGTATCTTCATACTGGAGTGAACTGTCCCTTTAAGATTCCAGTGGGAGAGGCTGAGGACTGTATCTTCATCAATGCCGACACTTTGCCAAGGGGCATCGCAAAGCACTGGCCCTAAAACAAGAGCATCAGCAGCAGTGTCCTCCCTTCAGCAGAAAAAGGAGCTGCCATCAAATGCTGGACTAAAGTGTTTAGATTCACAAATGGGATATTGCTCAACTGTGGTAAAGGCTGTTCTTAGAACTGTTTTTCCGTATTGCATTCTCATCATGACTGTGTAGATGCGGTGGGAGGAGAAGGATGAAGATCAGCAGTACCTGCCTCCCGGCTGTCTGGGTGTCCCTGAGAACCCTGCTATCCGGCCTAGTCGTCTCCAAACACAGCACTGGCCCTGAGCCGGCCACACATTCCACAACTTCCAGACAGCTCCAACTTTATTTTCAGGCTAAACGACATCAGCGCTCTCACATGACATTCCCAAAAAAGGCACTGTGGCCCCAGACTACCCTGATTCTCTATATGACTTAACCATTGAGGAATTAAAACAATGTGAGTTATGTCAAAACCCATAGAGGAACATACTAATGATACGTCAGTGACGCTAATAAAGTTGGGTCCAAAAGTCTAGGGGCACTAATATATATATATATACAATATATATATATATATATATATATATATAAAACTGTGTATTTCCCAGTATTCAATGTGGCCTTTATGATCACCTTCAAGTTTGGAAGATCAATCTGAAGGGCACTGAGCTGCTTTATTTTTAATTAAAAAAAAATAATTTTACCCAGTTGGCATAAGCTATGGTGATGAAATCTACAAACTACAAAAAAATAAATCGTTTTAAAATGCTGAAATCACACATTCAGTTCAGATTTAGATTTGACTATTTCAAATTCACAGGTTGCAGTTAGAATTAATAATAATAATAATAATAATAAATGTAACCATCTGTTTTTTACAGTATTGCCAGTAATAGGTCATCATTCATTTATTGGCAAAATAATAAAAGTAAATTATTTTTCAATTATCAGACAACTCATTTCTGATCAGAGAACCTGTGATATATTAGAATTGAAGCCTGAGATTATTCACTCGATAAAAGACAAAAGAAAGAACGATAAGAGAAAGCATGGATTCCATATAGCCTTAAAAAATGCAGATGAGCTGAAGGCCACTGTCAAAGAAACCTGGGCTTCCATACCACCTCAGCAGTGCCACAAACTGATCATCTCCATGCCACGCCGAATTGAGGCAGTAATTAAAGCAAAAGGAGCCCCTACCAAGTATTGAGTACATGTACAGTAAATGAACATACTTTCCAGAAGGCCAACAATTCACTAAAATTTTTTTTTTATTGGTCTTATGAAGTATTCTAATTTGTTGAGATAGTGAATTGGTGGGTTTTTGTTAAATGTGAGCCAAAATCATCACAATTAAAAGAACCAAAGACTTAAACTACTTCAGTCTGTGTGCACTGAATTTATTTAATACACGAGTTTCACAATTTGAGTTGAATTACTGAAATAAATGAACTTTTCCACGACATTCTAATTTATTGAGATGCACCTGTATTGGTAGCTGTTACAATATCACCAATCACTGCTGCAGCACATTGCAAATCGATTATAGGTGAAAAGAACCTACATCGAATAAAAAGCAGGTGCTGAAATATTATAATAGTCTAAATTACTGTGCTAGCCTTCCTTTTGTGAAGATCTCATTTAAAAGTAATGGCCAATATATTTGAAGAGATGCCGTCGGTTTTAAATTGCGTTAGTTCCAGAAGTAAAACCTTTCATACAAGTGTCTCTCTCTGAGACAGTAATGCACTTCTGCCCTCATCTGGATGTCGCTGCGTTTGTACAACAGAAGTGCTATTGAGCGCATTGGTATTTTACCAGGCAACTCTAGCCTACGTAGTCTTAAAAAAGAAAAAGTGGGATTTTTTTTCATACAAATAGGTTCCGTTTACTTTATCTGTATCCCGAGGGGAAATAAAAACCGGTTGCAAATAGCTTAATTTTGCCCAGACACTAATTAGACAAAAAGGAGCATCATTAATCATCTGTCTGAGCTCAAAAAGCCCCCTAAGCACAGTTTCCAGCATTAGATTAGATTGTGTTTACCCTAGTTTATAAATTGTTTCAGTATTACGGGGGGTGGTTGATGATCAACATTAATGAAATTACTAGGAGGCTGAGGGTCTGTCTATAGGTTTATTTGAAGACAGTTTTCATTGAGTTATTGCCATGTTGAACGATCGTATGGCTTGTTGAACAGCACCACCTGCTGATACTAAGAGTAACCTACAGGCAAGGACTACTAAATACCGAAAACTAAACGCCTAAAATCTTTCTATAGCATATTTGTTTTAATCTCCGAGTACATTTATCAAAAGCAAGATTCAAGTCATGTGATTAAAACATGTCAGATGTATTAGCCTACCACTGACAATGATGTAGCCTTGCTTTGAGACAAAGGGTAGGCCTAGATACACTGGCCATTAATTGTCTTTCTGCATGACATTTGAATTCATTTAAACAATAAAATGTCGTTTAAAAGAAGAAAAAAAATTATGTAAAACCTGCAATGACGATCCACTAAATGTGTCCGAAATTGATCAATATTAATGCATTTTTTTAGTGCTGTCAAACTTTTAATCGCGATTATTCGCATCCAAAATAAGTTTTTGTTTACATAATATGTGTGTGTGTGTGTGTGTTCTGTGTATATTTATTATGTAAATATATATAAATACACACACACATATAGCATATATTTTGAAAATATTTGCATGTATATACATTTATATATGCATATTCTTATATTTTATATATAATATTTAACATATAAACATAACATATTTTTCTTAAATATATACACGCATGTGTTTGTATTTATATATACATAATAAATATACACAGTATACACACATATATTATGTAAGCAAAAACATTTATTTTGGATGCGATTAATCGCGATTAATCGTTTGACAGCATTTTTTTATTCAAGTGAGGAAAAATGTTAAATGAATGAGTGAATGAATTATTGAATGAATGAAGGAATACTGGCTTGACAAAATTATTGTACAAATTTGGTTTATTGCTCTAATCATCCTCATCTTAAAGTTTTCATGTTGCATTCATCTGACTTTGTCAAATACCTTCAAAATTGTACTGTTTGGGTACAGTAGTGACCCCTTTTCTAACTGTTTAGGTTTTTCTGCATGCCCAGTGAACACATCTGACTGCAATTCCTCCTAAAGCCTTTAAATCAGATTCGGTAAACTTGGCACAGAGCTACAGCCTGTTCAGATTTTGTGTGCCGTTTTTGAGTAGCTCTCGGACTTACAGGTGCATCTCAATAAATTAGAATGTCGTGGAAAAATTCATTTATTTCAGTAATTCAACTCAAATTGTGAAACTCGTGTGTTAAATAAATGCAATGCACACAGACTGAAGTAGTTTAAGTCTTTGGTTCTTTTAATTGTGATGATTTTGGCTCACATTTAACAAAAACCCACCAATTCACAATCTCAACAAATTAGAATATGGTGACATGCCAATCAGCTAATCAACTCAAAACACCTACAAAGGTTTCCTGAGCCTTCAAAATGGTCTCTCAGTTTGGTTCACTAGGCTACACAATCATGGGGAAGACTGCTGATCTGACAGTTGTCCAGAAGACAATCATTGACACCCTTCACAAGGAGGGTAAGCCACAAACATTCATTGCCAAAGAAGCTGGCTGTTCACAGAGTGCTGTATCCAAGCATGTTAACAGAAAGTTGAGTGGAAGGAAAAAGTGTGGAAGAAAAAGATGCACAACCAACCGAGAGAACCGCAGCCTTATGAGGATTGTCAAGCAAAATATGCAGAGACCAAAAAATGCAGATGAGCTGAAGGCCACTGTCAAAGAAACCTGGGCTTCCATACCACCTCAGCAGTGCCACAAACTGATCACCTCCATGCCACGCCGAATTGAGGCAGTAATTAAAGCAAAAGGAGCCCCTACCAAGTACTGAGTACATGTACAGTAAATGAACATACTTTCCAGAAGGCCAACAATTCACTAAAAATGCTTTCTAATTTGTTGAGATAGTGAATTGGTGGGTTTTTGTTAAATGTGAGACAAAATCATCACAATTAAAAGAACCAAAGACTTAAACTACTTCAGTCTGTGTGCATTGAATTTATTTAATACACGAGTTTCACAATTTGAGTTGAATTACTGAAATAAATGAACTTTTCCACGACATTCTAATTTATTGAGATGCACCTGTATATAACTTTAGTGTAACTTGCAAAGTTTTGGCAAGCCAGTATTCAGTTAGTCTTGGACCACATTAGGTAGGCTATCTAAATAGATAGACTACAATAGATCTCACACATCTATACATAAAGCTGTAACAGCTGAATTCGCTTACAGCTACTTTAATTTACTATTAATTATTTGATTTTGTTGTTGTTTTGTCATGTCTTTAGTACAGTGTCATCTGTGTCCTGTAGAGGGCGCATATGTCCAGTCGATGGGCGGAGAGAAGCGAGTGGCGCATTTCCTCTCTTCTAAACCCCAGCAGCGAAGCTTTCCTCTTTCGCTTTCTCCAAGAAGAAGCAGAGGCAGTCGGAGCTGTCGACACCCAGCTCTTATTATATCACCGACAGAGTTACAGTCCTCTACCATGACTTACCAAGAATGCATATCAGGTAATCTGACCTTTAACAAGAGTCTTAAATGCATGTGTATGTTGAGTTGTTCTGCAGGCTGTTGGCAGGGTTGTCGCTCCATACTGTGCAGGCTGTGCGTTGGCCTGCTGAACACGTGCTCTCCACC